AGGGTATGCGTATGACTGTTCTTCTTGTGGCTATAGTATGTTTCTTGAAACTGAACATGTACTTTGCTCTACTGTGGCTCAAGAAAATAGTGCGTTTGCACGTTGTTGTGTTATGGGGTTCGCTGCTGCATAACCTTAGAACCTATTTAGGTGTTCGATCACGTGCCAGGGTAGAATTCGCACAAATGGGAAAGTAATCCAAGTGTCATCCATGAGTTCGTAAGGTACCTGGAGCATAACGGAACGGACCCCAAAGCCTTGATCTAATCGTGTTTTGCTTCCAAATTGACCGTAATTGCTGAGGCACTGGGTGGTCTACACTCGTTCAGTTGCCTACGAGCAGTCCACCCCGGTAGGCGCGCTAGCTGAGCTGCAGGTAGCCGTTCGGCGCTTCCCAAAATAGGCGCAATATGGACATGCTCATGATCTCCCACAGGCGTCGTATACGTTATTCAGGGATTGCTTGGATAAAGCTCTGATTTTGGTGTGTCTTTTCAAATGCCACCCCTAGGGTGCGCAGCAAGGTTCGAAATTGACAGGTAGTCAACATCAGTCTGTCAGCTCATGGGAACAGGCTGAACCTATTCGATTTGCTTGCAGCGAAACTACCAGGTGGGTACCCCGCATACCATGTCGTTAATGCTCCTGAGTCCTTCGTACAGGGGTAACAGGGGCTATAAGAGGTCTACCTCCTTTCAGTGCACCCGACAGAGCTGCCGATTTTGAGGGTTTGTGATAAGTTCTTGGAAACGTTTGCCCGGGCTTCTCTCAGGAATGAGCAGCCTTGCCATAACCTTTCCCAAGCCTTCTTCTTTGATTCTCATCAGTTTGCTTCAAATTAAACGCCATGTGCAAAGCCCAGAAAGCAGGCCCCTTCAAGCATTGAACATTGAGATCACCAAACCTTGCAAAGGTGTCCAGATCGTTGACCAGGATGCTGTTGTCTCGAACCTGGACTTCGGCCACGCAGCCGCAAGTGCGCACACTTGCCATTTCGGATATCTCCACAGGGCCCCTGTATCGCATTGCCCAGGGACCATGGGGTTCACGTATACCTTGAGAGCCCTCATCTGTGATTCCAAGGCCTCAATGCTTCAGGTACAGCGCGCTGTAAGAGTCTAGCACTTCATCGTTCCCAACGCCAATACGACATGGCTTCCATCTGCAAATCCGTAATGTGTAGATTGAATAGGAGCCTTCAAACCTGCAAGATAGACAAACGTGCACACATGACACCCTTCCAGATCACTCAGTTTTTTGTTTTTAGAACTCAGCTCCCTGAGCTGTTTGCTTGCAACCTCCTGCCTCACTCAGTTGACTTCGACCTGGACCCCAACATGCTCGGAGGACTTGGGCATGCAAGTCCATATTGAGGTACCTTCACGGCTCCCTGCTGTGGTTTCTTCATATAATCAGGACATATAATAGGTTTTGCCCTCTCATATAGGAGGACCCTCATGAAAGGTTTTAACTTGAGTTCTCGTGATGGGGTCTCGAACTCTACGGGCGGATACCTGTCCAAAAAAGCTATGCTGCATGCATATTACGAGCTACGGTTAATGTTAGCCTGATCAAGGGACTCTCAAGGGTGGACATAAGTCCCCCGAAGTAAATCGAACATGGGCTTGCCCAACATCAGAATAAGATCCCATATACCCCATATTCCATCTACTCTGAAAGCCAAAGACGGGAAGCTTTAAGTCTTCAACCGCTCGTGACAACAAGTTTGGTATACCGAAGGATGTGCTCTCTTGGCATCCTGAAATAATCCAAAGCCAAGAGGTGTGGCCCTGAACCACCTGAAACCCCAAAAGTTGGGACGCAGGAAGTCTTCAGTGGACGCTAGCCGCAGACACGTCTGCGGTCAGTCAGTACAACATTTACTTTTCGTACCTGGCCCAGCAGATGTGATTGAAAAGCCCTACACCGTCTACACCCCAACCCTCCGATTTCTGAATCCTTGCCTTCTAACTGTGAGCCCTCAACCCACGTTAAAGTAGAAAGTCCTTCGGATGCCCGTAAGTGTAGCCCCATTGGCCCATCAGCTCTGAACTCCTCCCCCGCATTCAGCAGTGGCCTGATGGGTCGTAGATAACACGCACGCCACCAATACTGAGAATGATTTTGCAGATAAGTTTCTCTGGAGACCCTCACCGCGTAGCAAGCAATCAGACAGGCAGCCCTCGCTACAGGATTCAGCCTAGGCTCTAAATCCTAAATCGCGTGGTTCTTTACAAGACTATTCCGTTTGAAGCTGGCAGAGCCTTCTGAGATGAACCTCGGACCCATAACCCTCGAAGCCAACGCCTAAACCCAAAACGCTAGGAGTGCATGGGTCCAGTTTTTTGGCATACTGGACAGGGGTGTAGTTGGCAAGGAGTTACACCGCATTGTACTATCATCGCAACGGACTATTCGGATTTTCAAGTTCTACTCTTATGGGTATGACCGATTGTTGTCAGATTCATGAGACTTCTTGAACGACTCTAGCCGTTATCTCAGTTGCTGCGACTATTCTCATTAGTATGCACCAGACAGGCAGTTTTGATGATGCATATTAATCAGTAAGGCCGTGGCACAAAGGCTTCGCGGGGATTACTTGGGCCGCGGTTCATGGCTTGACGCTCGCAAAGGCGAAGCCCAAACCCCCGCAACTCCCGTCTCATCTCTGAACTCCCGACTGAATGATTCCTGACTCCGTGACAAGTACTTGAGATGCTTGACATCCTATCACCAAGCTTCCTCCTTGAAGCCTAGTACATGAATAACAGACTCTCAGCATGGAGCAGGAATGGCCGGACCAGAATGTACAAACGAGAGAGCCAAACAAATATGCCCAAATATCCTCATGTTGCTTCAGGCCTGTGTAGAGCTGAGCACAGCGACTCCAGTGTGGCAATAGTGCCCTTGAAGGTTCCCTGCAGTAGCATTAGAATTTCGCGGTTATGGTTTAGGGTTTAGAGTCACCCATAGTCAGACTTGGAAGTTGAAACCCTTTCAAGCCAACAGCTAACAATCGTCACGCCCTAATCACCAAAGCGCCCTTTGTGCAAGGTACGGAGCTGATTACAACGACTCCAGCATCCGGGATGTTTTCGTGTCGGGCCTGTCACCCTCCACGACTCAGCAAACCATCCCGGCTGGAACGTCCGGGACTGAAAGCCCAGGGTCTTGCATGTCCTGAACATTTACTAATCTGAGCTCATAACTTATAACTTGTGCATAGAGTTCAAAGTGAGTTACTGCACGGAGGATGATGTCGGGCGATCCTCCAACGCAGGGTTGGATTGAGCCTCTACCAAGCTACCTTCTGCTTCTGAGTACATAGGAGGACCCCTGCTTCAGACACCTACTCAAAGATTTGTGATCTGTCCTGTTGAACCTGACCGCGGATCTGACCATGCTGAGTCCCGCCCTAGACTCAGCCATCACGCCACTTCTCCACGAATTCCAAGCTCCCTAAACAGACCTCACCACCCGCATCCTGGAGTTTAAATTCCTACGCCTGACACCCTGCAGTTCAAATCCTTTGTTCTTCTAGGCACTGAGGTGACGAGACTGCTTTGCTCTTCTAAGGTCCAAGATCAGCCAGGAGTTCATCGAGGAAGTCACCTGCAACTTCACGATGGCAGATACGGCCCCCCGACGCGGAAGACGTGTTGACATGCCAGCGGCACACATGCAACTCACGTAATTTAAGCGGCTATTGGACATTCTGCCTTGATCTTTACATAGGAGTATGGCCTTTGACAGCGTTTATTGAAGCAATATAAGCATAACCGAAAACTAGCTATACTGCTGCTCAGATTCTTGGGTACATGGTTTCTTCGCTGCTGCTGATGCACACATCGTCCTCGCTATCTCCATTCCGTTTCGCCATTGAATCCTCATAGATGGAGGGCAGCCAGACAAGGGCAAAACTCAATGTAGAGCCTCAACCTTGCAGAGCTCCATCCCCCTGAACCTGCCACCCTCGCTAGGTAGTGAGCGTCTTCTACAACGGAGTTGACATCTCCAGTGCTGTCAATGGCACCTTTAACGACTGGACAAGCACAAAGCGGCTTTCCTTCCGGAAGGCCTGGATCGTTAAGCCTGCCTAGACCCGAAAAGTTGCTAAAACAATGGCCCACAATCCTTACAGATAGATCAAGGAGCGGTTATTCTGCATGATTTTCGGATGCAGGAAGTTTCAAAGAATCCTGCTTTCGCCTTTGACTGCCGGAGACAGCTGAGGGATTCTCGCCAAAAGACACTTGATAGCTATGTTGTTCAGCGGCATATGTTTTTTTACTATTGTGGGCTTCTGGGTTCCTAGCAATTTACCGCTAGCGGTGTATACTGTTTTTTGAAAAAGTATAGAGAGTGTCCTCAGGGGCTACTGAACAGCCGTGACAACAAGATGTAGTCATCTGCTGGTTTGCATGATGGTGTCATGCATTTTCGCTCGTCGCAGGAGGAGGGAGAATCGTCATCGCTACTACAAGAACTGTTTAAGCTCCAGCAACTTTCGGTAATGGTGGTTATGGTGATTGTTTAGAAAGAGTAATATTCGTGTTATCATCTCTGGTAGCAGGAGTTGCCAATGCGTTGTAGAAGGAGCATCAGGGGATTTTAATGGTCACGAAGTGACAGGCTGAGATCCTAGTCGATGGTCAAAAAAAGGCAGCTAAGGCTTTTATCAAACGGACATTAGCCTGGATGTATAAGCTGCTACAAATTCTCGGGCTTCGTTATCCCTAAGCCCTGAGCAAACATCCCTGATCCCCCTGTGCCCAAACGCCCTCAGCCCTCTTAAAGGACCACAAGCGTGAATACACGCGGACCATCCTGGTTTGTGACAGGATCCCTTACGCAGTCTGTAAGCTCTGTAGACACCATGAAGCAGGAACGTAACACTTTCTTTGCGGGCTGGGAGCTTCTTGTCTCCGAATTCCAACACCTGCCCCCACTACCCAAACCCCTCATCCCTCAACCCCAAACCTAAGTTGTACACCCCAAATTCTGTCCCCACCCAGTAACAGCGCATAGTATGTAGGCTAAACCTAAACCTGAAACCCTAAAGATTTCCCAATTCCTGATTCGTGGGCTTGGGGAGGTGCCAGGAGCTTATCTGGTTCTATCCGGCAGCAGCCTGGTCGACTCAAGTTGGGCGCTCAAATGGGGATTTCCTAGATTTAGGGCTACCGCTGGGGGCCCCATCATAAGAATTATGAGCATCATGGGGTTTATATCAAGGTCTCCCTAGTTTGGGAACTTACCTAGCGCTTTGCAATCGAGGCACCATAGGAAAACACTGAAGTTATGGCTTCTAGCCTATAGCTTGTTGTGGGTGCGGTCTGAATGACACGAACGTGTTGGAATATGTTTACCCATATTCAAGGAATGACGTGTACCCTGAAGCATTGTAGAGATATTTGACAAGCAGAAAGGTTTCCTACGATGTATGGAGGGCGTTTTGGGGAAGCTCCCGTACGCGTACTCCAGGCAACCTGGGGAATTTTACGGGTGCCCCACATAAGGTAGTTATGGGATGTTTTCAGAAAACTTCCATATGCCATCATTCCCCCAGGTTGGTGCTCCCCCACGGAAGACGTCTGTCTTGCTGGCAAGCTCTTGGTTGGAGGCGCGTTGGTGTTGTACACATGAAGATTTGGTGGATTCTCGGTACAAAATGACTGCATGCATCCCTAGAGCAGTTAGCCTCTATAAACAATCCCCAGTACGAAAGCCGTATTCCCGCTAACCGGGATAATTATCTACACCTTCCAAGAGTGTCCTCCCAATAACACCAACTAGCCGATCCGCCACCTTTAGCATGGAGGGCAGCAAGGGAATGTTAAGAGTACACGTGAGATTCCTTAAATGCTCCCAGGTGTTTCCCTGATAGAACCACATGTCCGGTAAGTCTACACGCAAGCACTATTGACTGTAGTTCATGGGGTCCACTGATCTGCGTGTAACACTACATAGCACGCGTATTGTCCTCCACAAGCCTAGACCTTACTTCAAACCCTGCTGATATGAGGAGTTCTATGACAGCTTATATGGCAGTTTACATGAATAGGGGAAGCCCAACATACACACCAAAACCTATTGGAACTCCCAATCAGGAACCCTAATTCCCGGAAATCTATGACCTCAGAGTGCTTGACAGACTTCAACTTCTGCCTCTACGCCGGGTTCAGCATCAAATGCTCAGACGGCGTCACCGGTGGCAGTGGCTGGGAGGTTGGAGAACTCCTCCAAGGGAGAACGGGCGTAGTTTGGGGGGGTGGGGCATTACTTGAAGGGTCAGGCGGACTTAGTAAGTAGGTTAATAACCCATAAAATAGCAACCCTATGTGATCCCCCTTATGAAGCCTACTTACGAAGCCCCCCACCCCCGGCTCTCCAAGTAGCGTGATGAAGAAGGATTGTTTTAGCACTTGCCGGCTTCAAATGTCGCTCTTATACAGGTTGATAGATGGCATTCTGATTGCATCTGATATATTCGAGCGGCCTGCAGATTCGAGAGACTTCAAGAGTGCTCACATGTCGGGATAAACCCCTCAACCCTAAACCCTGCGCAATCCCCAACTGATCCAGGCCTATGGCTCGAACACTGCCATCGATGCCACGCACCAGGCACGCTTCATCCGCCTGTGTTGTTGACAAACGCTGTCGCGAACGAGTTTTTTGGGGCTTAGGGGCCACAGAAAAGGAGGTAGGTACCCGGAACTCTAGCTTTACATTAAAGTAGGTGACGGAGGCATGGATCCCTGTACTTCCTCCAGACCAACATGAATTAAGTTTGCGGGCTAATAGTTTCATGTTCAGGCATTCGTCAACTTCAGCAAGGGAACTGCGTTTTGAAATCGTTTGCAGACTCCCTGGATCAGCAGCTAAGGTTTGTGATGTAGGGTCTTCTTGGGTTTGGACTTACTCAGGGTTGCCCGAAACTCAGACTCTCAGAACTAAAGGACCTCGGGCACTCAAGGCTGAATGTCTGCATTTCCTCAAGGGCAACCCTTCAGATCCATCAAAAGGCAAACAAATTCCTGATCCCTGAGCCTACTTGTTTCGCGTCGCACTTTCGCGCGGGAGACTCGAAAGGTTGGACTTGGCTCGGGCTGGAGCCGTGCACCCTGCACCTCAGAGTCCGGCTTCTACCTGCCGCTGGGAAGCAACTCTTACCCTCTGCCAAAGTGAAATGGAAACTGGTGTAGCTCACTTTGAAAGACTGATCTTTGTAAGGGTTCCTTTTCCGGTTGCACGTCATCTTGGGGCCAGGGCAGCGTTTAGGCAATTACCTGGCTCGGGCTTAAAGGATTCGGAAGGGACTGCCATGGGGCCTGGGTTTTCAGGGTTCATGGCCCAATGTGTCTTGGAGTCTAGAGGGTAGAGTGTTCTGCAGTTTCAAGTTGATCAAGTTCAGGGTCCAACCTGTGCCTACCATTGAGAGTGAATAATTAGGGTTAAAAGATTAGGGTTGCAGACGGAGCTTGTACGCTTCCAGTGCATACTTGCCACATGAGATGCCTGGAATCGTCTCCATCTTATTTTATGATAGTTGATGGACCCATGCAATCTGTGAACAATCTCCAAGATGCCCATAGAGGGATTGGGATGCGGTGTAGGATTCAAGGATACGGGATGCATGCTGGGTGTGGAAGTGAATAGTCTATCTGGGGCAGCCAGTTTGTAATTGTACCGGATTTGTGATTTTGGGTTGCAGACTTGAGGATGCTCCCGGCATTTCCTACACGACGTCTCCTCACGTACCCCAATCCAATTAGAGAACTTCCCAGGGAGTATTTGAATCTGATTCCGGTTTGGAGGTCGCGATGGAAGTGCAAAATGTAGAACTGACAATATGAATTAAGGGACGCATGCATTTAGCCAGAAGGATTGCTCCGAAGCACATTTTGCACTTGGAGGGTCAGGAAGCCTTATTAGGTAGGCCAAAAGAGCCATGCCAAAATTTATCGAATGTCTCCACCACAAAAACGAAACTAGTTCTTCTCTGCACGTTCTCTACCCAAAGTCTGAAGCTTAAACTCTGAAACTCCGCACCCTCAAGGCTAAACCCAGAAATCTCCCATAAACACGTATAATTGCTTGTCGCAATGCAACGCGGAGGATAAAATAAAGAACCAGGAATTCATACGTGGGTTCCAGGGAATGTAGAGAAACCCGGTTCCCAGGGTGGATTACGATGCTGGAGCCAAGATCTGGGCCCCGGCGGGCGAGCGCCACGCCGTCTTCCGCAGCTCGGCGAAGACGGCAGCATTGCCTTTCGGGTGCGATATTTGCTCTAAACAGGCTTTTCGTGGGATTGCATGGAATTTTGCTTCCCGCTCGCTGCCGACTAGGGGAGGCACCAACGACTGCTTTTTCAGGTGAGACGGTTTCAGATTCTTCTCGATACCGTTACTGGTTGTCTAGAAGGTTCTTCAATACTGACATATGTCAAAGAAGGGGCCCCAATGGATCTCAAAACGTTGACCCTTACAAAGACCATCCCAGGATATTCCTTGTCAGACAACGAAGGTTCCCAAACGGTTCCTGGAGTTCCCAAGCCTTCCAGCAGACCTGTTTTCGATTATAGGCGGCAGACGTATCACCCAGGCACAAGTAAGCCTTATGCGTTTCTGGCTTAGGACAATAAAGGGCTCCCTACATGTAGAACTTAAGTAGTTTCCAGGTATCGGGGACACAACACAGGCCCGAACATATTAGAATCCTTACTAAAGATACCCCAAGACGGGACCCCTCAGATATAAAACCCTCATTTCAGATTGCCACAGTGCGGTCATGCTCCGGCTATTATTTGTTGATCACACCAATAATGGAGAATCAAATGGAAAACAACATGTAAAATGGAATGAACACTGTGACTGTACAGGGATTTGTATGCTGAAGGACCCCCATGCGCACCGTGGATGTCATCTTATTATGGCAACGCATGCCTCTACAAGGGGGCAAGGGCCGCAATGCTGATCCAGACGCAACGGATTCTTACTGAAAGCTGATGGCAATGTATAGATAGATATATACATATATATATATATACTTATATTGTGATACATCCCGCAACCTCAAAAATCCTGAAGACGCGCTATCCCGCCCAAAAAAGGAGTGCGTATTTGGAGGGTCAGGCGGATTTAGTAAGTAGGCTTAATGTTTCTTATGGCCCTTACGCGTTACTTAAGAGCCTCCGGCTCAGTCCGCCGACCCAGAGGCGGACAAATCGCGAAAGCCTAAACCCTAAACCTTGAGGATTTTCAGCGGCTGGCACGAGACCAACAAGCGCAACAAGGTTAGTCCAAGCTAGGCTGCCGGGACTCAGCAGCTTTGCGGTTTTCAGTTGCTGTGTAG